GTCATGGTTTCTTTAGAATTGGGCCCATTAAACTGGGCTGAAATTCTCATACGTTTGTGCTGGGCTGAATCTCTTTTTTCTTTTAAAATATATATAAGCTGGACTGGGGCTACAACTCCAAAAGTTGTTGGTGGCTTTTTTTTTTAAAAAAAAAAAAAAAAAAAAAAATTCCACAATTGAAAAACATCTTGTCAAATTACTTCGGATCAGATTTGGTTTAATCAGATCTTCTTTCCGGTGGCAATGAAGAATATGCCGACAGAGGAATTTAATGGCCTGAAAATAAGTTGGGATTAACGTGGCCGAACACTTAACCAGTGGCCTTTGTTTGACTATAAAAAATCAAGAAATGTTTTTTTTTTTAAGTAACCAAAAAAAAAAAAAGAACAAGAACAACATAAATATGAATAAATGTACTTATAATATGAGGCTGAGCATGAATGTTCTTGTACTAGTTTGTTTCAGTGTACCTTTTGACAGTCGATAAGAAAAGAAAACATGGTTTTATGTTATTAATTAGCCGGTTTGTTTGGTTCTACAATAACTCATCACTCTATGTTAATATATATATATATATATATATATATATATATACACATTATGTTGTATACTTGCATTAACAACATCAATTACTAGACAACTACGATATTATGGCGGAATGTGAATCAGTAATCACGATGTTATTATAAACGTACTTCACATTAATTAATGATTATCTGACAATTACAGATAAATTAACGATAAAATAGTATAGAATGTTTCATCATATGTATACATTGAAATGCAGTCTATAGATATATATTGCTTGCTTTATTGACTTGTTCTTGCAAGTAAACAGAACCCTAGCTCCCCAACTCTCTAGAGAGAGAGAGAGAGAGAGAGAGAGAGAGAGAGAGTGAGTTAGACAGATTTCAGCTACTCCAAGCCAGCCCATTTATGTTTTTCACATGGCGCCCAGCTGCATGGATATTTAATTAATTATTGACCAAGCAGGGTGGCTAGCTAGCAGTCTAAGCTAAGTGAGTGATCTACAATTCCAAACCAACAACAGAGCAAGAACAAGTGTGACAATTACGTTGTCATATTAAAATTAATGAAAACGACTTATTCCCACCTTTCTCAGCCTCTAATTATACCTTATTTTGCGTTAAAATTCATGTTAATTACTGCTTTTCCCCTCTCAAAAGAACACAAGTTTCTGTTTTTATTTTGATGATTTCATGCATAATGCAGCTCAAACCTCGATCGATCTCTTTCATATTTATCATATGATTTGACTTGTTTTCTCTTCATCAGCTTTTGCCTCTTCTCATTGTGCTACCTACCTAAAAAGCTCTCCCAAGTCACAACAGGAACTCTATAAAACTACAACTCTCAACTGAAGAAAGATAAGTAAAGCCAAAGAGAGCAAATGCCTGCATTAGTTTTCATGTCAACTTCTAGCAGCATGAGGGTCCTAATTCTCATTGTAGCAATGGGAGCAGTTTTAGAGCTTGCACCTCAAGCCGTGGCAGCTCGTGCTTTCTTTGTCTTTGGGGACTCACTGGTCGACAGTGGCAACAACAACTACCTAGCAACCACCGCCCGTGCCGACTCTCCTCCCTATGGCATCGATTTCCCCACCCACCGCCCCACCGGCCGCTTCTCCAACGGCTTAAACCTCCCCGACATTATCAGTACTATCACCATCCACCATCACCATCTTAATTAGCTAGCTAACTAGTTTAATTTTATTACTATATAATATCCCTCATAATTATGTGACATGTATGAATGTATGTATACATAGGTGAGGAAATAGGATCTGAACGCGTGCTCCCATATTTGAGTCCCGAGCTCACAGGACAAAAGCTGCTTATTGGAGCAAATTTTGCTTCTGCAGGAATCGGAATCCTCAATGATACTGGGGTTCAATTTGTAAGTCCAAATTCTGTTTTTTAACACATTAACATTATCACGCCACGTTGCCTAATTAGTAATTTCTGGTACCATAAATTTTATTAAAAACCCTAATTAACCCTTAAATGAAAAACCTAATTGAATAATTAGTTGATTTAATCATGCAGGTTACCGTAATAAGGATCTATAGGCAGTTTGAACTTTTCCAAGAATACCAACAACGGCTCACGGCGCTTGTCGGAGCACCACAGGCAACAAGGCTAGTGAATGGCGCACTTTACCTCATGACGCTTGGTGGCAATGACTTTGTTAACAACTATTTCTTGGCACCTGTCTCCCAAAGGTCACGCCAATATTCCGTTCCCGAATTCTCTCGTTACCTTATCACTGAGTTCCGCAAAATTCTCATGGTAAAAAATTTAAAATTTATGAATTTTACTAATATTAGCTCTCACACGTACAAGCGAAGTTTGACCGTTAATACATTGTGACATGCATACGTCAATGGTTAAGAATCGCCAATTTGTACATGAGTCAGTGTCATACCGTCCCTCGTACTATGTGCCACATGGCAAAATCTATATGTTGACTCATTGTGGTCAACAGTTTGCGTGAGTGACCATCGCATATCTTGGAATCTAATTTGTGCGCTAATCTAATTGTTTGTAGAATCTATACGAATTAGGAGCCCGAAGAGTGTTGGTGACCGGTACTGGCCCATTGGGTTGTGTTCCATCTGAGCTGGCCCAGAGCAGAAGCAGAAACGGTGAGTGCAATCCAGAATTACAAGGGGCAGCAGCGATCTTCAACCCACAGCTGGTCCAGATGCTTCAAGGACTCAACACCCAACTTGGTTCAGATGTTTTTGTCACTGCTAATGCCTTCGACATGAAAGCGGACTTCATCTCCAACCCCCAGAAATTTGGTTTGTCCTCAAAGCCCTTAAAACTAATCTTCTAATTAATTAATCATTAGCCTTTGAAATTAATTTAATTTGTTTCATTAATCGAATAATTAATTTTCATACTTTTTATATAAAAAAATACAAACCATAGTATAAATTATTCTAAATTAAACTAATGTATCAAAAGGTAAATTCAAACTTGAGTGTAATGAGACGGACTCACCAACCGACCTAACCCACATCTGCATTTTTCATGCAGGTTTTGTGACAGCAAAGGTGGCATGTTGTGGCCAAGGACCCTACAATGGGATGGGACAGTGCAATCCGACGTCAAACTTGTGCCCAAATCGGAATCTGTATGCCTTCTGGGATGCTTTTCATCCAACTGAGAAAGCAACCAGGCTAATTGTGAAGCAAATTATGACTGGGTCTACCAAATACATGAACCCAATGAACCTAAGCACCATAATGGCCTTGGACTCCAGGACCTAATTATTTCCAATTAGGCTGTTAATTACGTGCTTGGTATTTAATTAAGCTTTCTATCTTCTATAGTTATCAGCCGTTGATTATGTAATAACTCGTTTTGGCTCTGTCAAATTAATTGACATGAGACTTAATATGTAAGACCTTAATCAATTGCACAAAGTTTTATGCATTATTTTAGAGCTTGGCAAACAATTCAATTTTATATTAACCAAGTTTATATATAAAAATAAATAAATAAAATTTGTTTTATTTTTGAGAAATACGCTCTATTTAGTGAAAATTATTCTACCCCATTTAAGAATGGGGTTTTACAATATAAGGACAAATAGGATGGTACGAAGACAAAATGGTCCAACAACTCCAAATAAGAACAAGCTGGTCCAGTTATTATAACCATGTCATTCTCCGACAGTGACATTGACAATGAGTGCATATTTTTTTTTTGTTAAAATGATTGGTCTCTAATGGAGTTTCTTTATATTCATTTTTGTGCTCTTGACATATAAAGAAGAAATTGGAGTCAAAACATTTTAAAAAAATGAAGCAACGAAACTCCAATCGTAAAATCCTAGATCGAGTTACGTGAGTATCCAAGTCTAATAAAGTCATAAGTGCCCCATAGTAGTCTTGTGATTAGGATTTGAAGCTTGAGAAAGATTTGTGTAGAAATTAAAGGAAAGAAGTAAAAAGAAACACAGTGTTTAATGTGGTTCAGCTTAGTTTGCCTACATCCACGAAAGAAGAAGGAAGAAACTCTTATTCATCATAAACAGAGAATCAGCTTCTCTGGTACATAAAAAGCACTCATACAATAGCTAACTATGCACACATTAGAGATACCAAGCTACACTCATGAAGAGCCCAAGACAACTAACTCTACTCAGCCAACATAACAATAAATGAAGGGAATAACTCTGTTCATATTCTAATATTCCCCCTCAAGCTGATGCGAAAATGTTAATGGAGCCAAGTTTGGAGAGAAACTCTTGAAACTGAGATGAGGACAAGCACCGTTTGAATGACATTTGATTGAACCTTTTCACTATGCATAGCAACTTGGTTATCACAGAATAATTTTGAAGTCCACAAAATTATTTAAGATAAGTAAATATAATTAATTAGTATTTATTAAGTAATTTATGAAATTAGTTAAAATAAATAATTATTCATTAAATAAAGAATAATTAAACACACAAATAATAAATAATATAATTAAATAAGGTTAAGATATTACTTAATTGAAAATATTAAACCAAACAAATAATTTTGTATACCAAAAAAAAAAGTACACAAAATAATTTAAAATAATTAATTACTATCTATTAAGTAATTTATGAAATTAGTAGAATTTTTAAATACTAATTATTCACTAAAAAATAATTTACTAACTAAAGTAATTAAAAAAGGCTAAGATATTATTTAATTAAAAAAAATAAAACATGTCGTGCAGTATATTTAAAGCTTATAGCCGCGCGGCTATACCTTTAAAATATTCGTATGTTTTTAAAGAGTATCGCCGTACGGCTATACGTTAAAAAATATTAATATTCCAAGAGTACAGCCGCCCGGCTATACTGCTCAAATATCTGTACTTTTAAAATATTCAAATATATTTTAATTGGGCTTGCATATTATAATCCATCCGTATGAAACCTTTATGATTTCGCGATTGAACCAAATTGTGGATAAAAGCACTCATATCTATGAAGACTTATTGCGCGCCGCTTCGCATTTGGAGACGACTTGTCGTTTACATCGTCTCTTCTTCACTCTGCTGAAGCTACGTCGTCGTCCCAGCCCTTCGTCTTGCAGCTCTTGCTTGACTCATTTCTCTATCTCCGACCCGACCCGACCCAGTCCAAAGCTTCTTCTTCTTCTTCTACTTACCGTGCTTATCTTTTGAAAGCTTCCCGGCGAGTCCTATAATCTGCAATTCCAATTCATTCATAACGACAATAAGTTTGATCCTCTCAGAAAATTACTGGATTTTTCCAACAAAAGTGCAGATTTAGATTGATTTCTCTGAAGCATGAGCGAAAGTGAAATTCCATCTCTGGTCTCCTTGTGCATAGAGGCAGTAAAAAACGAGCTGGTTCGCGGTACGTTTCTGAAGCTCACGCTTCGCATGATTTATACAAAACCTGCATTTACTTCAGAAAAAATACGGTTAATTTCGAGCTGGTTTGCAGGCGATGATCTTTTACCGATTATCAAGGAGCTTCCATGGAACTTGGTCGATATTCTAGCTTCGAGATTGCCTCCGTTGGCTTTAGAAAAGTTGCAGACCGCAGTGTACGTTGGAACCTAATCAAAAGCTTACAACAATTCTAATTTCTCTAAATTTCTAACTTTTTTTGGATTATCATCCGGTTTCTTCGTCAAGCAGGCCTTTTGACGATCGAGATGACCATGATTTCGCCGATGAAGGCCTTAGAAATGGTAGAAAGCGTGGAAGGTCTGGAAGAATTAAGTTTTTTTGTGGGTATTGTTATATTGTTTTTGTTTGGTTGACTGTAGAAAGGAATTTAACCTGCAAATGCTTACATTTTGTTGCAGGAGTTGGAATTTCAGTACGGCATGGAAAAATTTAGTTAAGTCGCGGTGGCCTAATCTTGGCAATCAGATTGAACCAATTGACTGGCAACAGATGTATTGGGGAACGCATCTTCAAAAGTATGCCTTTTTCTTTGCTTCTCAATGAAAGAATAGAGATTCGATTTTCTGTTCATGAATTATTTGCCGTTTTTCTTGTATGATACCACAAACAAACAACAGGTGCTTAGATGAAGTGGCAGAGATAGCTTCGCTTCCCTCATTTGATGGGCGCCTTGGTGAAATCGGGATTTCAGGTACTTGCTACTGGGTTGCTTGATTTTTATTAAATTCCTTTTTATCTGGAGTGAAGTACATTTGTATATATGTGCTTTGTTAATTACCACTGGAAAATTTTTGTATTGCTACGTTGCATTAGAAACTTTCTAATTTTAAAGTGAATTTAGCAAGTTTGTTAGTTTCCATTTGATTTGATTTATAGAAAGGGTGTCCTTTTGCATTCACTGATGGTCTTGCTAATCCTGTAAGTGGTCTATCTTATCATATTTTTATTTTATTTTGTGCAGACTCTATATTGAAATTGATAGGCTTTGAGGGTTGCACGGATACGTCAACTTGTGATTATTCCAAACTTTATCACCATTGCCAACAATTTGGTTATTATGCCAGGTAAGAAAGTATGTTATGAGAGCATGGTCCTATGTCCTTCTGAGACTGGAGGGCTGGTTGCACAGTCAAATTTTAATTGCTTGTCCCTTTGCCTATGCACACTTCATTCTTTCCTTTTTCCTGTATGAAAAATTATCTTATTACATTGTGTTCTTATATCTGTGCAGATGCCTGAGACTTCAAAATGTTCTTTGTAGTGCAGAAATTTCTGTGAGTTATTCTTCTCATGTTGAGATGCCATTGACATGTGGAAAACACTTTGTATATTAAGTATTAACATCTGAGAAAGAACGGGTTCAACTAGTTCTCCTAAATATAAAAGTCTTAATCATCTATTATAGGTGCTGTGAGTCTGTTGTGAAAGCTTTATGAGGCATGCTATGCATAATCTGTCTGATAAAACCCATCTCTGTGGTCAATGTCATGTTTTTCATGCTCGACTGATTAGACGGTTGCTAGAGGATCAGAATGTTTGTGTGTAATTTGTGTGTGTTTGTCTCAAAATGGAGCACCCCTTCCCCCAACAAAGACACACAATAAAAAGACATCAGTGAAGTTGTGAGGAATAACTTGCTCAACCATGTAGTTGATCACACTTAGTTGGAAAGGAAGATTTGTTGAGTTGAACAATATACCTGTTCTATGTGCATGCTTGTAACTTAGTGGCCTCAATTGCTTTACGTGCAAGTCACTTTGCATTAGTGTAATACTAATCTGTTGCAGCATTTATTGAGGAACAGCCTATTGCAGAGCTTGGAACTAAGGTGGATCAGATCCAAGGAGCATGTAAGCTCAGTTCATTTTTCTTTGAATGTTGCTAAGATGGAATAAATATCTTTCTCAAGAACTGACTACTCCCCGATAAAAATAGGGACCACTCTGAAAATTGTGTAGGCAGCCTAAGCTGTTTCTTTTAAGTGCCTTTTTCTCGTCTCAAATTTTCTGTGAGTGGGTGGGATGATGATTTAATGGGCAGCCACTCATAGTTTAAAATAGCCATCTGTTAAATGCATAGAAAGATACTGCCCTCATGCTGTACATGCTATACCAAATTACAAAGTAAAACAGAAATCTTCATTTTCATGTGGTCCTCATGTACCTCCTCCACATTATATTTTGTAGCTAGTAGTCACCTCCCATACTGAAGAAATTATATAGAGATCAGAGATTGACGTGTATGTTAAATGCTTCCTTTCAACTGCCTGAGTTATGATTTAATCAAATGCCTGATCCTATATGCATTTCTACAGATTGATGGACTATGCAAACTTCTGAACCAGAACAGTGAAAGTTTAACATCACTTGAGTTCATTCACTGCAAGCTTTCTTCAGATTCTATCAATGCAATTTGTAGTTCCCTACCCACAAAGAATGTGCAAACACATGGGATAAAAAACTTCTCAATCAACACATCAAACTTTCTTGAAACAAACCCTGTTTCCTTACCTCTCGGACTTGTGTCATTTTTGACATCAGGAAGGTATGTTTGCTTTTCCAATCTCAGGCATCATTCAAATCCATCCATTTGTTGATTGGTTGAACTGTCTGCACAAAAGCTCACAAACGTTGAAAGTAAATATCGTGTTGCATGCTTGATATGTAAATATCATGTTGTATGCTTGTTGTATGCTTGATATGTAAATATCAAGTTGCATAGCTGGTCTTTGGAGGCTTGTTTGTTTTAATATATCTTCACTTTATTATGTTCCTTTCGGGATTTTAGCTCTGGAGAATTCAATTTTGTTGACTGAGGCCCTTTTAATGCTTGGTTTTCGAACTTTTATTTAGTGCACTTCGCATAAGTTTCTAGTAGCACTTAAAAGCTTGTTGAACCAAAGCATTGACAGAGGAACAGACAAAACTAGGTTAATTACTTCTACAATAGACTCTCAGCCATTTACAACCACAAGAAGATAGAATTCTTTATGCATGTGTTTTACTGTAAAGTATATTTTTTTCGTATTTTTTCAATTGTATATCTGTGGCCATTCCTTGCATCTAGGGGTGGCAATATGTGACACGACACCATGACACAACCCGAACACCTCAGCACTGTTCAACTAATATTATATTAATGAAACGTTAACTTTCTCATTTTTGTGATGAATAGTATGAGTTATTGTTTTATTATTTTATTATTTTTTTGCATCGCTTTGCGTGTTGACCAACCCGTGGGTTGACACTAATATATATGTGGGTCACCCGAACACGACCCATTGCATCTTTATTAAAAAATAATTATTCCAATGGCATTTTTGTGCTTCTGAAATCTGCCTTATTTTGCTGTCAGGTCCTTATATTCTTTAAAACTCTCTGAGAACCACCTTGGCCGCAATTTTGCAAAATTGGTTTTTGGTACTCTTCTCAATGCTTCGTCTAGTCTATCCATCCTTGATCTTTCAGATAACAATGTGAGTGACGCAATTCCTTTAACAAAATTAGTTTTTACTATTTTTAAAATTATCCTGTACGACTAACATGAAACTTTATACAAAATCTTTTAGATATCAGGCTGGCTTTCTGAACTCTATTGGAGATCACCAAGTGGGCCCCCAACGCCTTTGGGAATTGGAAAGTCCTTCCAATCATTACGAGTGCTCAATTTAAGGTATGATTTCATAGTTACTTTTGCCTTCTGTGCAATTTTCTATTCCTCAACAAGAAAAATGGCAGTTGTAAAATAGATTAGTGAACTCCGCAAGGTACTTTTCATCAATGACCCCATTCATGAGCCTGATGTCAGTGGTTGTATAAGTTGTATTCCATGCTGCTACACAGATCCTATGTTGAAAAGAAAACAAATATGAGGGGTTTAATTTTACTTCTCTGTTTATAGGGGAAATAATCTAAACAAAGATGATGCAGATGGTCTTAGATACGCTCTCGTTCATATACCTAATTTGGAGGTCCTAGATATGAGTGATAATCCTATTGAGGATGATGGAATCAGGTTGGTTTTGTTTTCAATCTCCACATATGCATTGAGCATTTTAGGCTCAAAGTCTAATATTCTGTATCATAAATGTCTCAGGAGTTTAATTCCATATTTTGTCGAAGCTTCCGAAAAATGCTTTCCCTTTGCTGATTTAATGTTAGAGAACTGTGAGCTTTCCTGTCATGGAGTGACTTACCTCATAGACACCCTCTCAACCCTAGAGAGACCATTGAAGTCTCTATCTGTTGCTGATAATGACCTTGGCAGGTTTGTCTGGATGGCACTGGCTTAGACGTTTTACTTCTTTATTTATGTTTTTTCTCAATATTTAATGGGTTGATAGCTCACTATTGTGTAGCCAAGTAGCAGCAGCTTTGGGAAAACTTTTGTCCACATCAATTCGAATACTCAATGTTGAAGGTATTGGATTGGGTTCATCTGGTTTTCAGGAACTACAAGATGGCATAACTAAGGAGTTGAAGCTAGTCAAGGTGAACATAAGGTGTGAAAGAATAACTTTATATTTTTCTTCTACTTTTTTTATTATCTATTTATATACGCCTATAGCTGATGGCCAGGAAATTTATCGTATTAATAAATTATGTGTAGCAAAAATCGTGGAGGAATTGGAACTGCAAACTTTTTGTCAAAGCTCATATCAATGGCTCCAGAGCTCGTTACAGTCGATGCTGCATATAATCTTATGCCTTTAAAATCCTTGAACACCATATGCTCGGCCCTTAAAGCTGCTAAAGGTATTTATTAACTGTATCAATTTTTTCTAAGTAACTAATGGTATCTGGTCCATTAACTTTTGTGCTGCCACGAGTTGCCTTGTCACTGGTAAATAATTTGGGCTACCAAATATTAGGTTATCACGGATTAACTGCGTGTTAAATCTCAGTTGAATCTTTGATCTTTAACCCCCTCCCTCTTTCCATTTTTTGGGTCAATGGCTGATGTTGATAAATCAATTAGAGCATTCATGGGAGATGTTAATGGATCGGAATTGAAATTATTTTATATGTCTGTGTTCTGCTGCTTTGTCTGAATATAAAACCGAGTTTAACTAACTTTATTGATTAGGAAATATTGAGCGTCTGGACTTAAGGGGAAATATTTGGGATTATCAACCAGGTTATGCTTCTATGCATGCCGACATACAATGTAATGGAAGGCCCGTTTTGATTCTTTCGTCGTCACCAACTCCAGATGCACCCTATGACGATGATCCGTAAACAGGATGGCTCGCATAACATATATTTTTCATTCAACTAGCTTATGCCAATCACCCACTGAAGTTGCCAAAGTTTCTCCACTGTGAAACAAAACTAAGCAGGTATTAGCCTGATTAATGTGATTATGTATATTATTTACCTGCCTCTCCGGCTGTGATAGCTATATCAAGTAATTTTAGGCTTCAGTTGTCCCTTCCTTTTCGGCTGTGATAGCTATATCAAGTAATTTTAGGCTTCAGTTGTGAGTTCTTGTCCAAATGGTTTCATGTGTTGTAAAATTTATCCATTTTGTTTTCAAGGTTGATGTGATTGTATTAGCATAAACTGCTTAAGTTTGGACCTCCCATATAAAAGGTTGAAGGGGTTATTGCGATTCATGTAGCAGTCACAGCCATGGCTAAAGAAATAATCCATCGCGTAAAGGAGTAAGTTGTTGTTGCCGCCAGTCACTAGCATTAAGATGCAAAAGGAAACATCACAACAGCAAGCAAATTGTTGCTTCTAGCACTAAAGGGTATGGTGCAAAAGTAGCAAGTGCGCGTCAGTAACTGTCAGCCGTATATTAGTTTGGATCTCATTATGCGACCCATACTCATATACACGGGTCCGTGGGCGGCTGTCCTTAGAAAAACTCATATTTTCCTCCATTGTTGCAGATCTGCAAGATTCAACAATGTTGATTATTGCTCATCCAATTGATGATGAAGAACATTATTAAGTATACTATTGAATATTGACCCCAAGCTGATCTTACCCAACAACCCTAATGAGCCAAGCCAACCTGTAAAGGCCAAACTATTTATAAACATATTGGTATCATCCCCACTTTGATTATTAAAGTGTTAAACTATTAAGCATGTATGGCTAACCTAACATGATGAAGCAAGCAAGGTGAAAGTGGACCAATTTTTTTTTTTTTTTTTTCTTCTTTGATATTCTTTTTATTTCGTGCTGTCCAGAAGAGGTTGTTGGCTAGGATTTGTCATGAAGTTAGGCTTTTCTTACTTGGGCCGTTTTAATCATCCTCTTTTATAATCTTATCCCCTTCCCCTTCCTAATCTCTCTCTCTCTCTCTCTCTCTCTCTCTCTCTCTCATTTAACAAATATCATATGATGGTACCTTTTGAATGACCCGTGAACAAACAATTTGTCACTCATTTCTGGTTAAACTTATTATCAATTTTGTGCCGCATGATCTCTCATCATCATCATTATCATGGCCTCGAGAGACTTCAAGCAGCCAAAATATGGGGTCCCATATTATCAACCTAAATGACGTAATAATAAGTTAATACGGATTTGCATATGACTTGCAACTTAAGTGGTTACAAGTAGTTGCTATTACATTCAAGATCATGTGTTTGAATCTCCTTCCTTCATTATCGATTTCGTTAATACGGATTTTGTTAAGATCTTTAAACCATTGGATCAATTATCAAAATTAATTTTGCTGATTAGGGGTGTAGTAATTTTATTCAATAATGCCAACAAATGCTTTTATAAGAACATGAATTCAGGTAAGGTGGTGGTGGTGGAATAAATCTTCCCAGCCTGGATTCTGCAATTTAAAACAAAGAAGATTATGGCTCGTTTGATTATTTCCACAATTGAAAAATATTTCAGGTTTGGTCTTCTGGATGCCAACGTTGGGCAGCCATTAATAAATGCAGTACTTGTCAAACAAAATATATTATAAGCTCACTCAATGCCATTATTTATGGTACAGACAAACTTTGCATGGAATTGCAGCTTCATACGATGAAACATATTTAAGAATATAACCAAACATTACCCCCTAACGTTTCTGTTCTTGTTCCTTTTCTGTTATTAGTTCATGAACAAAAACATTGCTCTCTTTTTCTAACATAGCAGCTTTTTTTTGGGCTTCAAGTTTTCTGTTGCCTTGTCTATTTCTCTCACGTGAGTGTTCAGATTCCAGATATGGGACCATGGTCCTCCATGTGAGAGCCAGGTAGGAACAACAAGCAATGCTTTTGAAGAGGAAAGGTACTTGCATTTTCTGAGATTGCCCAATCTAATGTTAACTGCCTGATGAATTTTCGACCGTGATACTGAAAGATGGAAGAATCGAACACATGACTTCTAGTGTAGAAGAGGTAAATATTTTGAACCATTTAACGACCGTAGTTTTTGTTTAAGAACATTAACCGATCAAAATTAAATTAATGAGTTTTCCTTACTCATTAGAACTTGTTACTTAAAGATTCATTCATTAATAACTGTCATTAGGAGGTGACTTAATTAACATTGCATTTATGCAAATAAAATTTTACCATCTAGACTATACAAGTCGGTTGGTTTGTTCACCTAATTTTTTAACATTCTGGGTAAACCAAACATGCATGTGTGGCTGGAAAAACCCTAATTGGTGGTTTCGCAATTGATTAAAACACAAAAGAAAATGACATTCGTACTTGTAAACTTTGCAAGAAAGTATTGATGAGTGAGTGTTGCTTTCCCCAGATCATACTTGGTGTTAACATCTAGGTATTGAGTTTGGCCTACCCCAAGAGTAAGATTAAATGACAGTGAAATTTGGGAAATTATTTTTATTTTCTAAAGAAAATTATTATGATTTTCTTAAGTGACAATTTGATGGCACACCATATAAATTTGATAAATTGTGTCATTAGAACCATACATCAATCAATCTGACTTAATATGCGGTATCGTTTGATAAATTGGCAACACAATATCAAATTATTTATTAAAAGAACACAACAACGTATCGTGAACATACCATACAACTAAAGCTGTAAGGCACATTGTAATATTAGAAAATTATGGAGATGATAAACTATATAAACCATAATATTCATATAAAAAATCGCTTGTTTTAACAGTCCAAATTAAGAATAAACTGAACATTGAGGCCAAGTCACCCTATCGATTAGGATTAATAATTTAAATTTAGAAGAAAAATAATTAAATAATCAGACGTGACAGTTCACTGTAGTAACTACTAACAGTAAGAACACAGTGGTAGAATCCGTAAATTAAACAGAAAACAGGGGTAAAGTTTCAAGCTACCCTCAACCACAAGGTGCTTCATCTTCTCCTTCAATCTAGCCAAAAAGCCAAACTACCCTCTCTGCGTATCTTTCTCTCACTAAAATTATCCGTCTCTAAAATCTAAACCAACATCTTTCTTCAACCTTTAGACGCGGGGGAAGACCCTGTGAATTTAGCCACACTCATCCTCTGAATCTCTCTCACACATTCTCTCTCTATCCACATTTCACTTTCAGTCACTCACTAACTCCATCAACACCAAACGCCATTTATCTCTCTCCTTCATCACTCCCTCTATCCTATGCCCTAATTCCACACCAAATCCACCAGATCTGAGCCCGCCCGCACCAGATCACGCCCCTAGCGAACCCTAACCTTGCTCCGATGGAGGAAGCTCTGGAGCTCGCACGTGCCAAGGACACGAAGGAGCGCATGGCGGGAGTGGAGCGCCTGCATCAGCTTCTGGAAGCGTCGAGAAAGAGCCTGAGTTCGTCGGAGGTGACGTCGCTTGTCGACTGCTGCATGGATCTTCTCAAGGACAATAATTTCAGAGTCTCTCAGGGCGCTCTGCAAGCCCTAGCCTCCGCTGCTGTGCTTTCCGGCGACCACCTCAAGCTCCACTTTAATGCGCTTGTTCCCGCCGTCGTCGAGCGTTTGGGCGATGGAAAACAGCCTGTTCGCGACGCCGCTCGGAGACTCCTGCTTACTCTCATGGAGGTTTTTTTTACTCTCTCCCGCTTTTGCCCTCTGCATTTTGTCTAATTGTCTCAAATGTATTGCGATTATAGACTCGTGGCGAAATCGTTGAGGTTTCTAATTATAGACTTATGCTAAAAGATTATAATTGCATGAAATTGTTGTCCAAAGTTTCTGAATTTTCGCATGTAGTTAGAGACCAATAGAGTTTTATTAGAGGTGTTTTTCTGTACGGTCTAGTTGCCTTAGCTTAGATGCACCTCAATTTTCACTGGTGATATTGTGATTTTTTTGACTTCGCCTCATGGATTCTGACCAATTGGGTTGCTGATAACCCTTTCCGGATAATATCAGATTTTCAATTATTGGGGCGCACTTGGAAAACAGACTTAGTGACCTGTACTGTATAAATACTTGAACCTTTTTCGAAGTTGAAATTTCTCAGAAGAGCATGAAGAAGGGACACGATATTACAGAAGTATTTACCTGATTGGGTAGCTGTGCGTCTTAGATTTGTTGTTGGATAATGGAAGTCATGTTCATCATTTGACAACTTGATATCTCAACACATATTTAGTACACCTCATTTTATTTCAGTCTGTAACTTGAAAGATGAAACTACAATGACTTGAGACATGCACATTCTGCTGGGCCATAGTTTCTGCTTTTTTTTCAAAGCATAATTTTAGAGAAGGTTTTTAATTTTAATTTTAATGCAATTAGTATTGCTGTAAGTCATCTCTGCATGTGTGTGGTGGGCACACTGGCTAGTTACCCTTCATTTTCATTACGTAGGAATAGGATAGGAGAAACTGTTCCTGTGATCTATCATCAAATTGTTATCCTGTTCTTTTAATTAAAGCTAATAGACGCCAACCATTTTAATAATTCCTTTTTAGTATACTTCTGATTTTGTTATCCCAAAATGTATCATGGTTTGCTTCCAAATAAATGTTCCACTGAAAGATAAAAGGGGCTTAAATCTCATGTTCTTTGGCTGCAGGTTTCTTCTCCAACAATCATTGTTGAAAGAGCAGGATCTTATGCCTGGGCACACAAAAGCTGGAGAGTTCGAGAAGAGTTTGCACGAACTGTCACCGCAGCAATTGGACTTTTTGCAGCAACTGAACTTCCACTTCAGAGGGCTATACTTCCTCCTGTAAGTTTCTTGATTTCTATTAACAAAATAAACATTTTTCTTTCTCCCCAGTTCAAATAATGCAGGAAAAAAACTAAAAATGTTTTATATTTCTTTGGAATCACAGATTCTACAGATGTTGAATGATTCAAATCCTGGTGTAAGGGAAGCAGCTATATTGTGCATTGAGGTTAGTAGATTTATACTTTGAATTTGATTTGTTCTATAAAAAGTTTGTCATGTAACAGTACCAACTTGGTTCTCGTATTTCTTTCACCTTTGCTAGGTTGGGGTTGGACTTATTGAAGTAATCTGACTATTATTCTTATTTGTTTTTTCTTTTCTATTCCCAGGAGATGTATACACAGGCAGGGCCTCAATTCCGTGATGAACTTCAGCGGCACCATCTTCCTATGTCTATGGTATATGCAGTTTATTTTCCCAGATTTCTTTTTCCAAGTAGAACAACTATTATTGATGAATGTGTCAAATTATTCCGGATGTCAGATGATGCGGGTTGCTTCTTGGGTTTTATTCTTTCTATAAAATGTACAATTGCAGGTGAAGGATATTAATGCGAGGTTAGAGAGGATTGAACCTAAGGTTCGTTCCTCAGATGGACTTACCAGCAATTTTAGTGCTGTAGAAACAAAGCATGTGAGCCATAACCCCAAGAAAAGTAGTCCAAAGGCCAAGAGTTCCTCAAGGGAGGTGTCTCTTTTTGGAGGTTAGGATGCTTTGTCCTTTTGTTTTGAAAAGGTCATGAGATTTATTCAGTGATAAATTTACTGTAGTGTACGTATGTGAATTTATATAAAACAATATGTTGGTAAGTTTTGAAGAACCCGTTACTTTCAATTTTCATATCCCATGGGTTGTCTTAATTTTTAGTTGTGAAAGTTAGTTGATTTATTATCTTTATATAATATGATGAAAGGCCATCTTAATTCTGGTTTCTGGATTTAGATGCATAAAAATATTTTGTGGGATGATGGGATTTGATGTGGTAGTATTGCAAAATTTATGACGTTGTAATTTCATTT